CTTCATGGAATCAGTAAATGTCCATGCAAATACACCTATCAGTGCAACTATGAAAAACACAAGTGGCCCCAAACTGTAAGGAAACTGCTCTTAATGCTCAGTTGGTTAAGTTATAAATTTCTCTGTTGCTTTCAAATTCAGAAATCCAGGTACATTTCATTCTTCCCAAGGTTTCTTCTTGGGGATAAGAGCCAATCAAACAAGTTAGTGTTTTTATAGTGCAAAACAGTATGGCTCTGCCGTGGATTCAGTGACAGTCATGCTGTAGTGGCCCTGTGTATGATGGGCAAACAAGCAGCAGCCAGACTTGTTTCACTAGAACTATAACCCTTTAAAACTTGAGATTTCGGCCCAGATGCTGAAGTGGCCACCTTCTCCCAAAGTCTCACTATAGAAGATTCACCATAGGGGCGCCTGCGTGGCTCAGTCGGTTAAGCGTCTGACTTTGGCTTAGGTCACGATCTTAGGATCTTGGGATCCAGCTGCAACGGGCTCCCCTCTGAGTGGCGAGTCTCCTTGTCCCTTCCCTTGTCCCTCCCCCTCAGCCCCCCCGCCGTCCCTCCCCTTGCTTGTGCTGTTTTTCTCTTTCAAATAAATAAATAAAATCTTTAAAAAAAAAAAAAAAAGATGCACGATAATAAAACAACAATTTAGTATCAAATACTAAACTTTTTACTTTAGGAAAATGTAATTGGCCAACATAATAGATGCTAAAGATTACTACTAAAATGATAATAAACAATTCTGTTTTTCTTGCCTGTGAATTTAACTACAACTTTAATCTTATAAATGAAATAATTTAGTTTAAAAACAATACTCTTTTATGACTAGCTTTTTATCTGAAAATTTACTTTGTTGCTGCCACCTAAATGACCATCAAACCTTAAACTGTGCAGAAACTTTTAAGTCCATGATGAATACTGTGGCAAATTCCAGGCTCATTTTTTTGATGTGCTAATTGCTCCAATTAAAGACAGTGGTCAACCATTATATAAACAATCACTAGGTTGAGAATGGAATAATGTTGAAGAAGAAAGGAATCTTGACCATCACTGACCAATAAAAAGAAAGGTTTGGCCATAAATGCTGGTTTTGTTTGCACCAACAAATTTGGGATGGATAAATTTGATAAAAGCTTTTGGATAAATTTTTTTACAAAATATATATATATATTTTAAGATTCTATTTATTTGTCAGAGAGAGAGAGAGAGAGTGAGCACAAGCAGGGGGAGCTGCAGGCAGAGGGAGAGGGAGAAGCAGGCTTCCTGCTGAGCAGGGAGCCAGATGTGGGGCTCCATCCCAGGACCCTGGGATCATGACCTGAGCCACCCAGGTGTCCCTGGATAATTTTTTAAATGGCTGCAAATTAAAGATGACAGATTGACTCACACTCGTTTATCTTGTTTCCTAAAAAGGACAGTAAAGGAACATAAAAGATAAATACACAGGAACATAGGGCACGAAGGAGGGATCATCCGCAAAACATGTATTTCAACACAAGTCTGCAAGATGGGGTGGATGGAACAGTAGAAACTGGTTTAACACAACAGCAAAAAACTACACTTTAATGTCATCCTAGAGGTCAATACAGAAAGAGCCTGATATGCTACCAAGCTTCAGAGTGCCCCGGGTCCAGAGATCATCAGAGGGAGATGCTAATGAGTGGCCCCAAGATCCCAGAAGTTGAGAAGAGGTGAGTGGCAGGGGCCTGAGTGAATGTGAGCATTTGGAGTTGTTAGATCTTCAGGTCCCCTGACCCATTTCTTGCAGCCAGGTGATTACCTCCAGCTGGAGAAACAGCAGAGAGACTTGTATGCCAGGCACAAAGAAAGGCAGGAATAAGGTACCTACAGAAGAGAAAAGAACATGAAAAATCGCATAGTAAGCAATGACTCACCTGGACCACTTCCCCTGAGCTGCTTCCAGAATATCAGCAGCCTGGTGAATGTCCCCTCAGGCAAGAAATTGCAGATATTTCTCCTGAGAAACTGAAGAGCCCAAAAGAAAAGAAGAACCTATGGAAAGAAGAGCCTCCACCTGATCACCATACAGCAAGCCCACTCCTTCCCACCCTTATACATAAGGTTTCTGGTGGGGTTTTATGACCTCATTCTTAAGTATGAATGGAGAGTCAAAGGTTTGCAGACCTTTGATGGAAGCCTTCAACATGGTGAAATTTCAGAATACTAGAGAACTAAGGAGCATAATTATGACATTTCAGAATATTAGAAATAAAGGGATTATTCTTCAAGTTTCTAGAAAGAAAAACTCCAGGTCACAAAGAAATGGGAATCAGGATGGCATTGGAATTCTCAGTAGAAACACTGGATATTAGAAGATAAAAGAGCAATTTTTATCAACTTTTGAATGAAAAATTTCAACTTAGAATCCTACCCTTGGTCAAATTTTCCATCAAAAGGGTTGAATAAAGCCATTTCAAGTTTTGCCTTCTGTACCCTTTCTTGGGTTTTTACTGGAACATGTGCCAGGAAAAATGAAGCAGTAAACTAAGAAAGAAGGCACAGGACAAAGCAATGGAGTTTTTGCTCTGGAGATGAAGGAATGTTCCAGATGACAACTGGGCAGCAGGTCCTGAGAGAAATTCATCTCCTTTGGAACAGGAGGACAGTGGACTTTTGGAGGGATGTTTCAGGCGGGAGGGGGAGGATGGAATTATTTGATCACTTGGAAAATAAATTTGATAGTCATTTGATAGGTATGTTGTAGAAAGAATATAAGGATGGGGGCATAACAAACTAAGTAAACAGATTGAAAGGTTTTATAAGAAAGAAAAGAACCACAGTACACTAGTTGGCTTTGTTGTCACTGGTATTTGCAGTCACCAGCTACTCACCACCCCTAAACTGGAAAAGAGCTATGTTGGAAGAATGGTGGAAGGGAAAACTGTATGAGGTCTGAAAAGGGCTAAATCCTTATCTAAAGGCAAAAGGTGGTCAAAGCACAACAATTAAATTGATAAATCAAAAGATAGCAGTATAAATTATTTAGAAATGGGAAGGTCAGGGCGCCTGGCTGGCTCAGTCTGAAGTCTCGAACTCTGGGTCGTGAGTTCAAGCCCCACCATGGGTGTAGCGATTACTTAAAAATAAAATCTTTATATGAAGAAGAAGAAGAAGAAGAAGAAGAAGAAGAAGAAGAAGAAGAAGAAGGAGAAGAAGAAGAAGAAGAAGAAGAAAAGAAGAGAAGAAGAAGAAATGGGGAGGTCAATGACAAAAGAGATGGCTAAAAGTGGAATGTGGATGCCTTTAGAAAGGAGATTAAGAAGGTAGAGAAAAGGTGGGTATTGTATTGTCTTTTTTTTTTTTTTTTTTAAGATTTTATTTATTTATTTGACAGAGAGACACAGTGAGAGAGGGAACACAAGCAGGGGGAGTGGGAGAGAGAGAAGCAGGCTTCCCGCCGAGCAGGGAGCCCGATGCGGGGCTCGATCCCAGGACCCCGGGATCATGACCTGAGCTGAAGGCAGACGCTTAACGACTGAGCCACCCAGGTGCCCCGGGTATTGTATCGTCTTAAAATATATTATCTTTAAAAAGTGTGTGCTTATACTGTGCTTTATAAAATTTTTAAATTCACTTGGGGAGCATAAAACATGGAACAACCAAACCTTGTCTCATAATGTAATTTTCAGGAAATATCTGATCCATAAAGATTGAAATAGAAGTTGGGTATCATCTCTGGCAATGTAGTATTAACTTGAAATAAAATACGATATAACTCCCATGCCCTCCTTATTTCTATGATTCATATGTATGGACTACATTCCTGTCAGAACTTTCACCAATATTCTTGAGGAACAAGTGGTTATAAATTAAACCTTTGGTAATTTGTGTGGTTCCCAACCAGAAGACCCAGAAGCACAAATAAGTCAGTTTCATCCTGAATTGTTTCCATAGCAACCATATTAAGCTGGAAGGATAAAGCACCTTTGTAGTGGCTGCTTCTATTGAATTACAATGTAAATGTTGATGCCTGCCTGGAAACGTCAAATGACAACAGGTTAACAGAAGGGATTCGGTGGTTGTTTGCAGCTCTGGAATCCCAGGCTAGAGTTGAGATAGAAGAGACAGGCCTGGGCCATCTTAGCGTCTATTCACCCCAAATCTTCTCATCCCATCAAAACCACCCCACTCTCCATCTGCCCAGCTCATGAAAGGATGCTCATCTCTGTGAAAATCTGTAATCTACCTGATACCTTACACATGAGGACACGAAAAGTGTTTGTTCTGGATAAGAATGTTAAAAATGCAATTACACAACAGACTCGGCAATCTTTGTGTTTTCCCCCCTCTGAGCACAAAGTAACCTTCAGTCCCTCACTCTTCTGACAATGTCAAAAGTCCTCTTAAAGTGGGTATTCAAAGCCTTGCGGTCATGCTGCGCATTTGATTCCGGTTGGCTTGGGGTACCTGAGTTCAGCTCTCCATAGGCCTTCCGTTTGACCCACAATCCCTAGTGGTTCCAAGTGTTGCTTTTTTTCCCTGCCCCCCCGCCCCCACCCCCGGCCGGCCTCCAGGAAGAACGAAAGCGTGGCGTGAAGTCTACTCCTAGCCCTGACCCTCAGCTCCCACGGGCAGCTGCAGAGCTGCAAGCGTGCCGCCGCTCCACTCAGGTAAACTACGGAGTGAGTTACCTGCACTTGGAGAAGGGCCTTACCTGAGCGCGCCTCTGCCAATGGCAGCTCACCTGAGGGAGCTTCGCAGCCAATCACCGTGCAGCTCGTCCCTCGGGCTTGTATCCTTTAGTGAAAGAATTCAGCTCCTTGCGAGAAAGTTACCTGTGGCCGCCCAAGTCCGCCACTTTCTGCTCTGTGGCTGCCCATTGCCACGATCCCGGAGGACTCCGTGCCGCCCCGCCGCCTCCGAGCTCGGGCCCCATGTGAGGGGCCCCCCCTTATCCCACCTTTCCGGCTAGGTGAGGGCGCGAGCGGGCGAGCGAGCGAGAGTGGTGAGGGGGGACGGAAAAGCAGAATTACCTGTAGCTCTTGTTCTGCCATCTCGGGCGCTCTCACACACCTTCACCTGCACAGACTTGAAAGTCCAGTTTCACCAGAGGCTGAGGCTCCAGGAAAAGGGGAGCGAGTTCATTGGATCAAACATGTCACAAGAGTCGGACAAGTAAGTGGATCACACGCGCCGGCTGCTGCTACTACCGCTTTGGGCTGATGGCAACTGGTTTGTTATGTTTTTGTTTTTGTTTTTTTTAAGTTGCTATTGTTGGGTTTTTTTTTTTTTTTCTTTCTTTTTTCTTTTTCTTTTTGGTGTATCCAGACTTTTCCAGATTATGTTTCTACCCTGGTTAAGGGGAGAAACCCTACAAGAATGTGAATGTTTCATACCCCCTTTGGGCCTTGATAGTAAAGTAGGTTTTCCTCTTTCCTTCCTCCCTTGCGAATGAGCTCAGCTCCCGTCTCCCCGGGCGAGGACTTGCATATTGACAGAGGTTTTGGTAGGAGAGGGCGGGAGGCCTGTTATTCTCCCTCTCTTGAGTTGCTCCCACCGCTTCAGGCTGCTAAGGCCATTTGGAAACTCATCTGAGTTCCTTCGATTTGTGCAAAGGGCCTGCGAGAAGAGCGGGTCTTGGCTGCTTTTGTGTGAGCGCAACAAAGAGCCTTTATACTGGAGCAGAAACGGCCATCTTCCCGTACTGGGGCAGGAGAGTGCGTGTGTGCGCGCCCGCGTGTGCGCCCCTGTCGCGAGGCGAGGCGCGGCGCGGCGCCGGGCGGCCGGGGTCGCGGGGGTCGCACCCCCGCCCCCTCCCCCCCCCGCCCCCCCACCCGCCCGCATTGTTCGTTCGCCCTCCTCAGGTGCGGGAGCACAGGGCCCTACGGAAGTGCGGGGAACTGATTTGAGGCCCCGCGTTTGCACCTCCGTGGCGCGCGAAAGGGCCCCCGCCCCTGATCGAGTCACCCACGTCCGGACGACGTGTGCACGCCCCTGCGAGCCCTCGGCCCTCCGCGGCCCGGCCGGCGCAGGCGCTCCCTGCCGGCGGCCGCCACCTCGGGCGTGGCTGGCGGGGCGGCGTGGGTCGCGCCGGGCCTTCTCGGGCGGCTGGGATGCCCAGGCGGAGGGCCCGGGCGGCAGCGTCCGGCTTCCCGCGCCTCGAAGGCAGGGCGGCCGAGCACGTCCTTTCCGTCCTTTCCGTCCGGGACGGGAACTCTGGACTCGCCGGGATCGGCGGCCTGCGCGGCCCGACTCGCGGGTCTCCGGGCCGCGGTCCGGTCGCGTCCCGGCGGCCTCCTGCAGGCCTGGCCCCCGCCTTGGGGACGGCTTTGTGCTAGCAGGGGGAGGTGGGGCCGAGGGCGGGAGCGGGAGCGGGAGGGAGCCGGAGGTGGGTCCCGCGGCCTTTCTCGGGATTAAGTGGCGACACTCCCTTCCCCCTCCCGGGCGCGTCCCGCGCTGGGAACTGGCCGAGTCCTCTTGGAAGTGCGTCTGGGCCACCTTTTTGCTTGTCTTGGTAACTTTACTCTGGTGTTGTGGCCACCCCAAGGAGACCTTCCTGAGGGTGACCCCGTCAGGGCAAGGACCGGGCGCCTGGAGGCCGCCGGTGCCTCTCGTAAGTGGCCCGTGCCAGTCCCGAATTGAGCGACCCTGAGCGGGCCACGGGAATGCCCTGAGGACCTGTCCAGGGGTGGAGGGGCGGACCATCTTCAAAGTTAAGCCGCTGGTAGAGTAGGCGTATCCAGCGACACAGGCTGTCATACTTGAACCACAACAACAACCCCCCCAAACCACTACCAGATAGGAGTACAGTTTTACCCACCAACGAAAAGCTAACTGCTTGGCACACCCCGGAGCGGGAAGAACTGGTGTTAAAAACGCTGGAAGAGGGTAGAAGTAGGGATAGGAAGGTGTGTGATTGTAGGAGGATACCCCTACCATCACCCCCACATTCCCTGTAGCCTTGTGGAAATCACTACTCGAGCTTGAAAACTTAAGTAGCCAAAAGCCGGAGCTGACAGCAGGATTTTCTGGATTGTGTTGATCTTCGTGTCAAAAATGGTTGCAAACCTAGTGAATATCGAATAAAACTTCTTGCAGTTCCTTAATTAAATCGCACGATTGACATTTGGTTGCACTGCTTAGTTTTGTAATCCAGCGTGACTCAAATGAATTCGGAATGAAAATGGGTCGATTTTTATTTTAACCTGTTATACCTAGCACCAACAGACAATTTATTTAGTATTGAAAGTAAGTTCTGCGTTAACGATCTGGTTTACCACGATGCATTACTTAATTTTTATGGGTAATAACTATTTGGGATTCCAAATCCTTACATTTAATGAAAGTAGCTTTTATCTAGTCACGCTTTCCAAGACTTAATTTTGTATCCTGGGAAAAGTAATGCCAACAAGAATACCCATAAAAGACTGTTGGACCCCACTTGCCTCTCTCTGCCTGGACTATTGAGAAATGCTTGAAATTAATAAATGATATTTGGATTATTTTTGGGAATTCTAGTTTTGTTTTCTTAATGTTAATACTCTAATGGAGGACCAGAGGGTGGGTCTGGGTTTCACCCGCCTGAAGCTTATGCAACTGTGGGTGTTAGGTGGGGTGGTGGTGTGGGCTCTTAGAAAAAGAGCAGGAGAGCAAGTTACTGGGGCTTCCTGCCAGAGCAGGCAAAGAGTCCTGAAGCTTGAGCTTTATCAGCTTCATGGTAAATCCACCTAGAGGGCCTGTCTGTTTTCGAGAAGTAACCTAAAAGAATACACACAGGATATTTTTCCATAAACCCATCAAAGTGTAGGTAATCTTTTGGCTAGCATAGGACGATAATTCCAGGTAGCAAGTCTGGACTGAAGTAGCATCATCTTTTTTTATGGTTATGGACTTTTCAGATTGAAACGTTCTGCTTTTTATGTTCTGTAATGTTGACGCTATCACTAATTAAAGCAAAGTATTTTTAGGACAGCCTGTCTTTGTACATATTTGAAGATTCTCTGTTCCGCCTTAAATTTTATTGAAGATTTGTGATGCTGGTCAACAAGCTTGTGTATTCTAGCAAGGCAGTGATAGATTTAGAAACCTTTTTTTTTACTGCCAAAATATATAAAATATATTCAGGGAGAATATAATATTACATATATGAATATAATTTTATTTGATACCCACAGGTATTTTTCATTACACAAATGTTTTCTGATTATGAACTCTTTGCAACACATTCAGATAGGCATTATGAGAAAGTAAAAAGATGTATAAGGTGAGCCACGTCCTCAAGGGGCTCACACTGTCATGGAAGGTGAGACATGAACAGACATAATTTTAATTAAGCCAATACCTGTTAAGTGCCTAAAAGTCACAAAGTAAATACAATAATGTATTCATCAGATCCTGATATCACAGTCCTCCTCGCTATTCACCCCACTTTTGCCTAGGATAATTTCTTCTGGTCATCTTATGTGTTTTAAGGAGTCTGTCCATTATTCTAGAAAGGAAACAGAAAATGCTCAAAGTTATAGCTATTTTGAATGGTATAAACTTTCAGGTAACGGGATAAAACATTCTAATTAGACTTTCTACTCTTTAGTTTTATAGATGCATGTTTGTTTCCATTTGGCTATATAAAATATATTTTAAAATCACAAATATTAAGAAGTAATCATATCTTCCTCACACCACTAAAAATATCTATTCATTTATTCAACAAATAAATCTTGAGTGCCACTGTATACCAGGCATTGATCCTGGCATTGAAATTCAGTAGTGAGGGGTGCCTGGGTGGCTCAGTTGGTTAAGCCTCTGCCTTTGGCTTGGGTCATGATCTCAAAGTCCTGCGATCCAGTCCTGCGTTGGGCTTCCCACTTAGCAGGGAGTTTCCTTCTCCCTCTGCCCCTCACTCTGCTCGTGCTCTCTCTCTCTTTCACTCCCTCTCTCTCAAATAAATAAATAAAATCTTAAAAAAAAACCCTGAACTTAGTGGCTTAAAACAACAATTTATTAAAAAAAAAAAAAAAAAAAAGAAAGAAATTCACTAGTGAATAGAACAGAGTCCTTGCCCTCAGAATGCTTACATTCTAGTAGGAGGAAAAACCGACAGTAAATCAATCAAGAAGAATACATAACAAATTAGAGGGTGATAAGTGATATGAAGGAAAGAAAAGCAGGCTAAAGAGATTAAGAATAATGGGAGCTATTGTATGTAAAATGGTCAGAGATGGCCTCTCTAATGAGATGACCTTTGAGCAGAGACCTGAAAGAAGTGAAAGATCAAGCACTGAAGGTACCTGGGACAAGAGTATAGGCAGATGGAAGAGCAAGTGCAAAGGCCCTGAGGTGGGAGAGTGCTTGGCATATTCAGAAAGGAGCCTGTAAAGCAGGGACGTAATTAAGTAAACTAATGAAATCTATTCTCTCCTTAATAGTCCAGATATTTGTATATTCAAAAACAGAAAAATCATACTTATAAATGATCCTGGCAATGGAGAGGTAAGTAAATAATAAGCTAATAGCATCAGTCTTATCTCTTTCCTGAAGTATCACCAGTTTAATGGTTAAGGGCTCGTGTTCTTTTCCCTACAATGGATTAAATTCTGCACGCTCCTTAATTTAGAGATGAATGAGTACACACATCCTAAAAGACTGCTGGGAATTAGAACTGAAGAAGAGGGACCAAGTACAGGTGGTGTTTGCTCTGTCACTCTGCGTTAATGAAACCTACCACCCTTTAGCCACTATCTCAACCCTTTGATGTTAACCTCCTGCAAAATAAAGCTTGCCTTTCCTGCCTTCTTCCTCTTGCCCTCTCTCAGTTTCTGCAAACTTGCATCCTTCACAAAACACAGACTTATCATGGGGCGCCTGGGTGGCTCAGTTCGTTAAGCGACTGCCTTCGGCTCAGGTCATGATCCTGGAGTCCCGGGATCGAGTCCCGCATGGGGCTCCCTGCTCGGCAGGGAGCCTGCTTCTCCCTCTGACCCTCCCCCCTCTCATGTGCTCTCTCTCTCATTCTCTCTGTCTCAAATAAATAAATAAAATCTTTAAAACAAAACAAAACAAAACAACAAAAAAACAACAACACAGACTTATCCACTGTGTTTGGAAGTGAAACACCACAGTATGCTTTGGTTAGCTTGGTATCTTCAATGAAGTAAAGTAATATACAGGCAAAGTTA